CCCAGAATCTCTGCAATCTTGAAGTCTTCGAAATCAGTCAGAGTCATCATTCAAGACTGTGTCTTACACACATCAAAAACCACATGCTCTATCATGAAAGATCTCCAACTCAAGGCAGAGCCAAAACAAATTCACAGTTTATATTAGGTTGAGGGAAGTGTATGGTGTAAGCTGATGGAGACAGACAAGGTAATGATTTTGTTGTGTAGGATGTAGCAAGTCATGTGCTGGGGTGGCTCGAGGCAGAATCTTACACTTCAGCAAACATCACTGATGAGTCAACAATCAGCCCCCGGGGTCTACGCTTTATGATCGCTCTCAGCAGTACTCTGTTCCTCTCGCCCTATTCTTCTCATTCTCTGTCTCGCTTATTATAACCCCCTCATTTATTATCTCTCGCCATCTAACTTTCTCTCAGTCTTTGACATTCAACAAAGTTCGATGTGCCTCTCTCTCATAGTTAGACCTTTTACCTCTTGAAGTCTCGACAGTCTCTCTCTCTCTCATGCTGATTCTGTCCGTCTTGTTAGAGCCCAGATTTATTACAGCAATCTGCCAGAGCTCCTGTCTCGCCTACTAACACATACAATGGCAAACATCATGCATATGTTGTTGTTACCATTATATAGATACGTACACTGAAGCTATAAAGGGCCTCGGGCGGATAAACAGAGGTGAATTAATGTTGTCTCTACGAAATGAAATTCACCATTAACTCCACACGAGAGACCTTGGACCGAGAATGTACCTTGGGATAAAATGGACCATTTGAAAAGTTAACCACAGGTTAAAAAAAAATATGTATATAGATATATATGATATGCTTCATAATCTTGTTAAAATCTTGTTAAAATTAGGTCTAAGGCTGGACCTGGAGAACATAAGGTGAAACCACTGCATTGTGTTGCTCTAATAGTCAGGCTACAAATGGCTTTTGATGTCATTTTTAATGAGCTTGAAATTCACAGTTTATTTTCAATGTACTGATCTGAGAGTCATATCTCAAAACAAAGAAAAACCTGCAAAAGAAAAACACCCAGAAATGCCACAGAGGGTCCTAATTGGAAGAGTTTGGATCACCTCTGAAGCCATCAACATTTGGGAAGAGGGTTGTAATGAACAAGCAGATCCTTTAGGCTAAACAAAACAGACTGGGGAAAAAAAACAAAACACAAAAAACCCCACAACGAGACCAGAAGCACAGTTTGGAACTTTTTATCCCTTCCAAAAAACAAACAAATAACCATTTTTTCCCTCTGTGAACCCCCGCAAACAATGAGGTTATCCCACGTGTCTGTTTTAGGCAGGAAAATACAACATCCTGTCGGAAGTATAGGACAAAAAGTTAGCCGTCGAACTCGGCGTAAACAAGAGCAAATGCCTGTAGGCAGTGTATATCTTTATGTTTCCAAGCAGTGCCCAAGGCAAAGGTTGAGTGCCATGAATAATTCACGCCTTTACAAAAAGAAACAGAGTTATTGTTTGAAATATGACTACAAACATTATTTCTGACAGAATAATTAAATATTAAAGGGCAAGACAGATGCACATTGTACCTTAATGACATTTGAATGAGGCAAAGTAAAATAAGCCACGCACAAAATATGAGTGGTGAGATACCAAGAAAATGATGGCTCACCAGTGACTGCAAAGCCTCCTGCTTCTTGTTGACTATACACGCACCATGGTTTAAGCACTGGTGTCTACTGTCAGCTATTATTTTTATGATTATCAGTGTGGAGACAGTACGTACATATGAGCCTATACATGTGTACACAGGCTAAGAGTGGTGACGAGGTTTATAAATACGAACGGTCTACTTTCATACCAGCAAGTCCTTTGCAAGACAGCAATAATTTGCATGATAGAGACAGTGCTTCAGGGAGAATTGTTCAAGATTACATAGTGGTGCATAGTTATTATGGATAAATGTTTATGTGCATACATTATATCATATCAGATGTAAAACACGACAAACAAAATGCAGTCCAAACCTACAAACAGTAAGGATACATCAAGGAAGGTATACACCGATCTATTCATTCAATGAGACAAAAGCACAACAGCTTGGGTAGAGTAGTTAATCTATACAAATTCTACTATGGTTACGTAAAACAAAATATCTGCCAACATCCCATTCATGTATAAACAAGCTTTCTCAAGCTTTTGCACCGACCACCTGTGACAGAATCACACACCTTAAAACTGCGCTTTTAGGGAAACTAACAACAAAAAAGGAAACCCATCATCATCAGTAGTAATACTTTTTGCATTCATGCAGCAATCTGGATATCATTTTATATCAGGTTAAACAAAGTCTGAATTCTTCACTAAAAAAAGAAAAAATAAGAGTGCTTCGGCTGCTATCTAATCACTCTTTTAGACAGTTTCCTTTGGTGCTTCAGGTCTAACTTCCAGGTGCCTAAGCAACAAGACAGTTGAAGGTGGGGAAAAAGAAATCAATAGCTGACTCGCTCTGTCACAAATGTAGCAAAGCTAAACTGAAAAAGTGATTTATCTTTTCTTTTTTGCTGAGAATGTACAGTGAAAACCTTTATTTTCTCACATGAAGAACATTTTCCCATCCTGTTTGCTGTACACTCATATCAAAAACAATCACATACTCAGTCCACCATTGCTCTTTAAATCAATATAAAATATAGGTTAACAATAAAATGAAACATGTGAGTGTCACTTATCTTTTTTCTTTCAACAGTACTTTGATTCTGAAAACCAACAGCTCATGGCTCATTGCAATCTTGGCTAGCATTGGCTATACACAAACACTGTACTGTCACTTAGTTAATCAAATATTCTATCAATAATCAGGAAAAAAAATGAAATGGTCCAATTCATCTTAAATGCAGTGCTTCCAACTCCAAATCTGTTCAGATTTCTGAGGACTCTCACTAACATACTGTACTTATATATAGAATTTCAAACATTCACATACACTGCATGATATGGATATCTATATTTAGGTCTGTGTAAACCCTTGTGGCTACACTGTGACAGCAAAAGACATATATGCACATAACATTCCAGTTCTCCAACACAGGTGTAAATCCCTCTGGTCACCGGGTCGGAGTGAGGAGATGATTTTCCACTGACCTTTTCCTGCAGCTCCAGCCAGGTTCACACAATGTCTGAAAGGCTTATGGTATGCCATCGGTCATATGAGGGACACACTTAGACACACGTTTGACACTCTACCCTAGGCGCTTACAAATTTCAATTACCTGTATACTAGACACTGAAATGTGATTTCTGTTATCACACTGCCCAAAGGCTAGACTCAGCTGCCAAGCTACTACAGAGAGAAAACAGAATTTCTCTTCTTATTGTTTTATCTGGAGGGAAAAACACTAAAAATGCTGGACGCTTTATTCAGTAACATTAAACCGCCCCCCCCCCCAAAAAAAGTTTATTTATGTGTTTTACTTAATTCATGTGCACTGGTTTCATATCAGCTCAGCGAAGTAAAGTATGCATGTCTCAGCTTGTTTTCATGCACTGATGTTAGTTCCCAACTCTGTTTCAATGTGCATGTGTTTGTGTGTTTGCACTTGTTAGCCTTACTCGATTCACAGCTCATGGCACGTCCCAAAAGCACTCAGCCAAGAGGAGACACCTTCATTTTTTTTAATTCATTCATAATATTAAATCACAATGCAGTAAAAATTACAAAAATAATATCACGATTTGAGAATTCTACAGTTTGATGCTGGTGGCTTGGGGGATGTCATTTGATGTTCTGGCTTTAGATTCACAATTTACAAGGTACTAGCAAAACAAGAGCCATGTGCTGTCACGGGTGTATTATAGCTAGTGAAACATTTTCAGCCTGCTCTACCCAAGCTGCGAATCCCATTTCCTGCAGCCTCACCACAGCAGTCACTCCCTGGAACAAATGCATAAGCCCAGGTGGGAATGTTGCTTGGCGACTTCTACACTCCATTAAGCATTTGCTCCCAGTTTAAGCAAATGCTGCATTTTAATGCAGTGTTTATTTACAAAAGTTTTGTGGTTCCCTGGACTCCAGGCAGCGGGAGATGGCAACAAAGGATGTAAACTGTCGGACCGGATCATCGCACAGGGGATTAATCTGTGTTTCTAAAGCACGGGGCTTTACAGAATAAAAACATCTGCCTACATTTCGGCTCTTCATTATGACTAACATGAAATATTGAGTAGAAATGCATCAAGGTCTTCTAGAGATCTTTGCTGAATTATGTATACACAGGAGTCCGTGGATAAACTGAGCACCAGAGAATTTGCTTGCGCCGTCTATTCCCCACAGCCCCTCGCTGCATGACCTTCCTCTCCATTACCTACACTACGGAGCATTTTTCACGTCAACACAATCAATTTTTGTTTGCCCTGATCCTGTTCTGCTTTTACGCCTCTTACTGGAACCAAAATCCTGCCATTCTTTACGCTACATTTCAGCTCATACACAAGAGCAGAGGGTAGCTGAAAGAGGTGCGGCACACACCCAACTCTGTAGTGGTATGGAACCAACATCTGTATGTATCGATTCAATCAGATTTCCTCCAACACATACTTGCAATTGGCTTCAATATTTATTACTCAGCCATTTGCGTGATTGATTTTTATATATGGGGAAGTCTACACAAACCGAATCCTACCCAGCAGCAAACATGCGTGCCAGTGGCCGAAAGCATCAAAGTACCACTCTAAATTGAAAATGCATGCAGCGCAAATTAAGCTCCACAGGAAAAGGGTAATTCAAGTTTGAGCATTGTGCTTGGTGACCACATTTTACAGAAAGCTTCAGTTTCTTCACAGGCTATCTTCCATGCTCATGTTGGAGCAAAAATTCACAGAAAACAGATTATTATCTGTTAGCCTCTTCTTTTTTCTTCTTGGAAGAAAAATATTTCTGGCTGCCACCACATATCAGCTATAAGCAGCATTTGAGCAGGCAATAAGTAACAGCTTTTTTGCAGTTCCATGAAAATAATACTTAAAATGCTTACCAAAGTCCCCAGGGACAAAGATGTCATAGACACAGGTCTGCCCTATGGTGTAATTATGCGGGTAGTTTGGGGACAGCACAGTTCCCTCTGAACCTGTGAAGTGACCTCCGCAGGGAGCTGTGGAGACAGCAAGGCAAGCAGCAGGGAAGCTCAGTTAACAAATATGAGGCAACCAGCTAATAATACCTGGAGGAAAAAGGGATTAAAATAAAATTAGTGCATCTATTGAAGGGTAAGCAGCTAAAAATCACACGCACACAAAAAAACAACAACAAACTTTAAAAGTTGCAGACAAATATAAATTTGTCCAGCAAATAAAAAATAATTTGACATTTGAGAGACATTTTGGACACATCTTCAAAAAGAAGAGTGAGCCATAAACGCAGAAAAGAAAAGCCCTGAGATGTGCTTAGAAAGAGCCAACGGGGAGAAAACCTGCAAGGAAAAATACTTTTTGCCTTTAAAATACAGAAAAACACCATCAGTCTCGGGAACACAAAAGCACAGCATTCCCACATGCCTGTGACTTTAATCAGCCCATACGGCTCAGCACCCTGTTTTGAAAGATTCAGATTCAATGACTCAGCTAAAGTTGGTCTTTCATCAGACATCCAGCGATTTTTGAAGGTGCTTCGTTATGATGTATAATTCTAATTGATTGCATTTTCCTATCACTAACCTTTACAAAGCATATCCATTAATTTTAATATCTGCTAATACAGCGTGTGGCTAAAGCTAGACTAAGGTCGCTTAAATTTAATTGTCATTAAACATACATCTCTCAAAACTTTCCTGCTACTCTCAGCAGATATTTAGCCAGTGATATTCAGTAGGCTTGTTAATATTAGTTGCAGTCTGTCTTGCTGCTGCATCGCATCTCATAGTCTGATCTTAAGCTGTTGATAATGTACCTAATTAGCTAAGAGTCGCTCTAATGCATTTACCACAGACCTCACGGACCGAGCCATCAGGTGGGAGAGCCTCGACTGTAAACAAACACAGTCATTTGTATTAGGGAAGCTGTCACCAGCTGCTCTGAACCCCCTTATGGCCCACACTGTGCACATGTCACTGCTGTTCCATCGAGCAGCACATGAGAAGTGAGCAAAGGTGCAGAAGAATGGATCAGCGATTTATCCGCATTTGCTTGCTGAAGTAGCAAGAGGCATGTAATCAAACACATGTGACACGGGCACGCGAGGCTCTAATTCAAGCTGATTTGTCAGACAGAATGGGAGACATGGTGCTGTGGTGGGGGAGGAATCTGAGAATGCTACTAGTGGGAAGGAAAGCAAACTGCGCTGTCAATCTCGAGTAGGAAAGAGCGGCACCAAGGAAAGCAAGGGATTCTCAAGATATGCTTTAACGGTTTCTGTCTGACAGCCGAGTGCAGTGCTGCACAGAGAAGAGGGCAGGCTGCAAAACCACTCATTTTATGTTTTGTAAAAGGCTGATAGTTAAGAAAGAAAGCTAAATGCTTTAGAGAAAAAGGCGAGTTATTACCTCATATGATTACATAAATGGTGATTTAAGAACTCAGTGCATGAAAAAATGATTTTTAAGAATGCTTGGATTGTCTTCAAAGTACGCACACAGCAAAATCTTCATATGATTACTGCATTTAGCAGTAAATCGTGTTATATTGTTACAACACTCCATCAATACAAACAGGATCGCAGTTTGAAGGAACGGCCTTCAAATATTACGTTTTTGAATCATTTTTCAATCATTAGATTTAGAATTTGAATCATATTGACCCTTTCCTTTATTCTACTTTTCTTACATACACAAGGGAGAAAATGGAGCAAATTGTAGCATAATAAAACAAATCTACTATACTGAAAGTACAAGAATAATCTGTAAAGTATGATACCACTAGCCAAGAAGCCCACAGGATGCCCTTAAGTTTGGGTAAGAATCACAGTTATACTCTATACTAAATATTAGTTGCTGACCTGAGTGACCTTGACTAAAAGTCCTGCTGTCTGTAGTACAATTTAACAACTGAAAACACAGTGAGCCATTATAGACTTGTTTAACGTAAACAGAGTGTACAGCTTGCTAAATAACATAAAGGAACAGTAGCTGGCCATATGTTGAGGCAGCTGAAGCCATTACATTTAGCCTTGAGACGGTTCAGTCATCAGTTCAGATGCATTTTCAAAGTGAAAACACTTAACGGAGAGCTGTTGATGGACTCTTTAGTAAAACACATAACCCCAGGGCTGTTTAGTGAAGTTACAGAGGTGTCAACTGTAAAAGCAATGAATAGCTCCCTGGCGTGAGGCTGGGTGCTCCCGTTCAGTATGTTCAGTGCAGCAAATGAGCGCTGAATTCTAATTTAACCTTGATAGATTTAAGACTATGACAAATATTAAAACGGTTACCGCAAAGAGAAGAAATTGGATATCTCACTCCTTGCATCTTTTTGCATTTCTTATCACACTGTAGAGTTACCTTAAATTCAAATCAGTAGTGGTAAATGGTTTGTCATGAATATTGCTATTCACCATGAAATGCTGAACCTACAGAATGCCAACAACAATAAAACGACGCATTTGCAAACGAACGTTATGTTCACTAGTTTATTACATCAAATTATAGCTGAATGCAATTTGCCATTTGGGAGTGTCGTTTAAATCCAGAAGACACAAATACCATGCAGGGCAGAGTACTGTGTGGATCTGGAATTGGACACTATGCTTTGACTCACTCATGATATGCTGTAGTTTGCCCTCCATAATCCCAGTTCATGAGTGCTGCACTACAGCTGAACCCATTATATTTTTGTCTTTATTGAGTGACCAGAATGTGCTATGTTCTACATGTGCATCAAACAGACAGCAGCGTGCGCCACATTTCAGCTCTTTCTTTTTTTTTTAAACACAGCGCTCTCCTGGTATCACACTGTATCAAATATTGACCAAACAGCTGGAGTGCAGTTTTCTGCTTCTAAGGCCTTCTGTTATTGCCGAGGTGTTGCCTCTTACCTTGACAACTTGGTTTAGCTCTGTCCCACTCGGGTCTCTTACTGTTGCCCATGACACACGTCAGTGTCGAGTAACCCTGCAGCAGGTAGCCAGCCTCGCAATGAAATGTCACCATAGATCCCAGCTTGTAGTCAGTACCCATTCTAGTGCCATTCATCACATTCCCGGGATCAAAACACGCCTCCCGCAGTTTAGCTGCCAATCAAAAAAAACAAAGCTTTTACAACAGTGACAACTACCTAAAATGAGAGGGATTTGTTAAATGCATTAAGCGTTACACAGATTGCAAGTTTCTGTTTAAATTAACAGCACTGTGGTATTAAAAACATTAATTAAGATTGTAAATTTGTGGCAATAGAGGAGGCTGGGTCTTAGGCTAATCTCCAAGTAGCTGTGTGTAGTGTTGTGTTCAAAAGACAAGATGTGTATCAAAGGAAATCCCCTGCTGAACTACATAAACATATTCAGTGGAAATGCTTAAAGAAGCGCATGCTCAAGCCTTTAGAGTACCTTTGTATTCCAAATGAAAGCCAGTGTAGCTCACAGAGCCGTCGCTACGAAATGCCAAGTACATGAAGTTGGAAGTGCTCTCAATCTTCTCAGGAAGTTTACTGTCTTGGAAGCTGCCAATCAGATGGGCGCTGCTGTCTGGCCCATCGTAGATGTACAAGAAATCATAGTTTGGCTCAATACTGAAGCTGTGACAAGCAAAAGAAAGAAACAAATGAAAGATAAAAACAGTTATTATTTTGCCAAGCCTTAACCACCAGATTGTACAGATTGAGAGATTTAGAATGCAATTGGGTCTCAAAATGAAAGTGTGCACTGCAATGCTAGAAGTGAGTCATGCCAAGCGATTTGTTTTGCATCTCCAGACAAAGAGATAAAAAAAGATATCTCCCCCAAGAGGTGAGAAGAGATTAAATTGTTGTGACACTGCGGTGGCACAAAATCTTCCCAGACGGCGACGGCAATGCAGTGTGAAAAGATCGCTTCATATTGTAGCGCTGTATATCAAATCACATGCTGCAGTCAGAGAGAGAGGGGAGCATTTGTTTTCAAAATAATGAGCGCGGTTTATGACGAAAATGTAAATAGCTTGGAGATAATTGCATTTGAGTTGGATCAAGGCAACTCCAATTTAAAATCATAACCCCATCCTTTCATTTGGCAATTCCCAAGAGTCAGAGAGAGAGAGAGAACGGCATTGTGCTAACTCTATTAGACGTTTGTTTTGAAAGACAAAGCTGAAGAAGAAACATGGCGAGTTCTCCGCCTTCACCGCGAAGTGTGCGGAAGTACAGAAACAGCAGTGTACCTTTTGTTCCTTTCCAGGCTTTCGCAAAAAGTACTCGACAGTCAAAAGAAGACTGCCCAAGAAAACTGGCCTCGGGCACATCTGTGGCTTTGCTTTGGAGATATTGGTGCTGCATGCTTAGATTGCAATTAATAATGCAAAGCACACAGTCGGACTATCTTTCAGCATATTTAACGAGATGCACTCCTATCACAATTCTGCGATATAGTATTCACCCACAAACCACGTTTCCCCACATTTCAGCAAAGCAGGCTGAAATACTACTCCTTCTAAGTGTCTGTAAAGGCACCGCTGCTTTCTCCCTATCTCCCAACACACCTTGGCTCAAACTTAGGTCTTCTGCTTAACACACATGGTCAACTGTGCTTAATGCTGTGATGCTATAGCAAGTTCCACTGCAGAAAACAAGCAATTCCATTGCACAGCCCAATCCACTGCACATCCACTGAGAACTGAGTCCATTCTGTTTCAGACAGGTTACAAAAAAATACCACAGGTTTAGGGAAAGAGTCAGCTTGTAAGCTATTGGCCCATGTTTTTAAGGGACAACACTATTTTTGTTTATCTATTGGCCTTCTCACATCCTGCAAATACATCAAGTCCTCACATTTCTTTTGACTAAATACTTAATATAAGTGAAAAGTCCACACGTGTGAATAATACATCAACCCATGTGGTTTAGGTTCTGGTGTTGTCGTATTACCTGATGAAAGCCAGGGAGATGACATAGTCAGAGTGAACTGCGATAAGCCAGTCACAGTCTTTGCTGTGTGGGTAGGGATGGGGGTAGTTGGGAGAAAGGATGAATCCCGAAGACCCTGTCACATTCCCACCACAAGGAGCTTGAGAGATAAAAAGGAGGAAGAGATGAATGAGAAAAAAGCTGTCAACACATAAGTAGTCTTTAAATGTGCTGCAAATGCCTTTAGCTAAATTCAGCTTGATACATGTAAGGCATGTACACTTATGGGTCGTTAAATTTAACTGGCTATTTCTATAACCTTTGTAAATCTCCATCAGCCGGTGGTGCAGTAACAACGATTAGGGCATTAGAAAGGCCACTGTTTCCCCCCTTTGCATTATAACACCGTGATACGCCTGACAATTGAGCTGATTCATTTCAATACGGTGTGCTTTTACAACACAATGCAATGCAGCATCTATATATACATTACATAGATGCTGATATACAATACATTTATATCTGTATTTTTCAGATATAAATGACTGAAAAAACAGTATGTATCCCTTACAAGACTTTATTCCATATGCTATCATGTTAATTATTTAATCCGCCTTCATTGCTCCTTAATCTCTCTGGGACTATGTGAACGCATAAAGTATCAATGTAGCAAATCAATCTGAAAGTCAACAGACTCAGTAGCATGGCTATGTTTGTGACTATTTCAATGTCATTTTCACTGCCTCGGGCACTCCCCCACTCCCCATAATTCTTTGCGCAACTGTCAACTGTTGATTTTGATGAATAAACTAACAACTGTCACAGCACAATGAAGCAGTGTTTGTAACACGACGGTGACTGTGCTGTTTTTATTAGGCATGGTGACACTTTATTAGCACATGAACAGCTGACATTTACATCAAGTTTTCAGTAACACAGAGATGCTTCTGGTGTCAGTGGATTATGCCAAGTTGTGTGATTTTGTAATTGCACTCCAAGACTTGCAAACGCCTAGGTCTTTCATGACGAGAAAAAGAGTCTGTTAGACCAGTTGGCAGCAACTCAAGAACATTTAGGTTTCTTTGGACCTACTTAGTGTAATTATTTCTAATTGCATTGTTAGGTAATTAGCCGTTAAGCTCCAATAAGACACTGTTTTGGGAGACCATAGACTACTCAGTCTTTTAACCAACAACAGAAGTGGATTTGTCCACATAAGAGCTGGCAACAGCTCAAACATATCTGAAGAGTGTTGTTTATTCTACACACACTTTTAAGACATGAGTGAGAGAGAATTATAGTCTCATCTGCAGTCGGTTAATAGACAAACTCTTTGCTCTACCTCTTCCTCTCCACATCTCTTCTTCCCTCTGATCCTCTACACTTCCCTGCGCAACTTCTTTCTTCAATCTCCTCCACACTACCTCCCTTCTCTCTTTAAATCTTTCTCTCTCTCACCAATGCAGCTTGGAGGGCTGGGTTGCCAGTAGTATCTATTTTCCACTTGGATGCAGGTGATTCTGCTCTCTCCCTGCAATTCATATCCCGGATCACAGGAGAAGGTCACAGAGTCACCCGGCTCCCGCCCTTCTCCGTTGCGACTGCCATTCATGGGAATACCTGGATCTCTGCAGGCTGTTGCAAGCGAACCTGAAGGGCAAACACATACGTGTGATTCACAGACACACAGCAAAAGCAGCTGGGGTCCGACATAAAATGCACAGGAAAGAATGCACAAGCGTTTCCATGTAGGGTTATGTTTAAACTGCAGCTCAAACAGAGTTACAGCACAGAGCCCATCACAGCTCATATCAGTCAAAATCCTGCCATGTTTTCCTAATCTGTTTCTCTAAAACACAGCTATGCAGCAGCCAAAGGCTTTGATAATGTTCTGGTAAATTCTGCTGGATTTCACAAATATTCAGCATAACAGACTCTCAAGATAGACTCAAGACTAGTTTAGTTTATTGAACTTCTGTGTTGTTGTTGTTATTGCTGTTTTTCCTAAATCAATCATATCCAACCGCTCATCAAATTAAATATGTAAAACACAGAAATTTGATCTAAAAGGGCAATGTCTATTATATAGCATTCAATGTGATTAATATTTCATAATGTCACATACAGTAAAGTGAAACAAAGCTTTTACGAGTCCTCTGAAAATTAAGTACCGGGTACACCCTATATTCAATAGCTTGTAGAAACAGCTTTAGGAGAAATTACTTGAAGAAATCATTTTCTTCAATCATTCTCATGACTGACTCACTGACTGCAAAGTGCCCAGGTCCCATGGCTGCAAAACAAGCCCAAATCATCATCATCCTTCCACCTCCGTGCTTTAGTTGTCATGATCCACGATGATGTGTGAAGTGTTTGTTTATACGTGTGCCTCCTCCCATTAGAGTGTGAAGCTCTCTCTCCAAAGTGTGTGTACGTATTTATGTGTTTGCCCCTGACTGCTGGTTTGAAAAATTGCAAAATTAACCCAGTAACTTGCAGGTTTTGTTCCCCGAAACCCCATTCATGTCCTCATTTATAAAGTTGCTATTAGAGCGTGTAATAGAGATAATTAATTTGCATTGAACACCAAAATCCTGGTGTATTGTTATTTCACTATTTTATTTTATTTTTAATCTAATCATTCAGTTGTCAAAACAGCTATACGGATAGAAACAACAATTAGGTCAAATTGTTATCAGCTGAGAATAAAATCTATAGTCTCCATCTTTCTAACACTGTGACTCTGTGGACAGTAATGCAGTTGTCAAGCTGTCAGCCAGCTTCCCCACACTGAAAACATTTAGTGCACCTCACTGCAGTAATCACTGTTTACATCAAACCTGTCTGTATAAAGGTTTGGACATATACAACACTGATCAATAATCAATCATTTGTCATGTTGTAATCAGTCAAATTAATGGAAAAAATGTCTGTCATAGATGGGCACATAATAATCAGACAATAATAATCAATAATAATCAGACCCAAACAATATAACCCCCCCTAATAAAATTATGAATTATCTTGCATAAATAGGGTGTTGATTTTCTTTACTCATTTCAGGTATTACCAGCAAAGTAGTTGCATGTTATCATCTGGGAATTTACCCAGATTTATTTATTTATTTAGACAAAGATCATGACCCCCCCAAAGTTACGCACAAAGTTACGCAGATATAGATGGGATCCAGGAGATGATGTGAATAAGTGAATGAAGCTGGTTCTGAAATTACTTTAGGCTTCTAAAACTCAACTTAATATATTTTAAAATGAGTTTTTAAAGCAGCTGCAGAGAGCTGATTGTGTTTTGAAAATTTCATGTTAAAATTTCTTCACAAATTGAAATTCATTCATTAGATGATATCAAGCAACATTTTTGAAAGGTTCAGCATCTGAAATTCAGACTATGACACATATTTTCAGCTACAAAAAAACCTAAATCAGTCTCAGTGGGTTGACCCAGAACCCGTTTCGCCTGAAGCTGTCATAGGCTCCGTAATGGATCAGTAAGCCATGTCCACTTGCACAGCAGGATGGTATTTACAACGGTTCATCCACTAAAAACAATTCTGAAATAATTAAAACCTGTAAAAGCTTCAATTTCAATTTCTTATCTTTACAGTAAATCCATTAAACACTCAGCAAGCTGTCTTGTATTTTTTGAGTTGATATAAAATTATTATTCACAGAAACTGAGTAAAATGTTTGCTGGGGAAACTGGGAAACATTACAGAAGAGTTTGCTGCAAATGTCATCACACATTTTTATCCACTAATAAAAAAAAACTTTAATTAAAAATTGAGGTTATTGCATCCCATCAGTACATTAAATTTATACTAAATAATTACTGAAAAAATTAAAGTGTCATAAAACTGCAGCAAAATTTTTTTTATTGAACTAAAAAAAACTGACTCCAGAGCAGATCCTCCCAGGCTCTGTTGCTATCTGAGTAACTAATATCACAGGTCCATCAGAGAACTATCTTATATGTTTCTTCAGACTTTTAGCATCAGTTTCTGTCAGCAACATTTTATCAGGTTACAGTTTCCAGCTTCATCTAATGAAAATTCAAGGATGGTAAATGATGACAAATGATGAAAAAATACTAATCTTAAAAAAAAGATGACAGAGTGGTTCAAGGTGATTTTCTTTCCTCTTGTTTTTTTTAAGATAAATATCATGTTCAGCACTAACATGCTTCATATTCCTTAGTCCACTGAAATGAAATTGATTCTCTGTGCTTTATTTACCCGTTGCCATGGTGAATTTTGGTATCAGAGCTCCACTGATGATGGCCTTCGTTCTTTACTCACGCACAAGCTTAACTTAAGGTGAACAAACACAGAGTTGATTAAACTAAATCTGATTAGCTCTTCTGGAACCAAAATCTCAGAGTTGCTGATCACAGTTACTCAGCTCAGAGTTTGTTTTTAAACGCAGAGTTCGATGAACCTGCTTCCTGGAATAGAGCCCTGGGTTGTTAGCTAAAAGCCTTGAAGAAACAGTCTTTGTAAACAGTAAATTGTAAATAATTATACACATATGCACACAGTGAGCAGTTCAGTAGGAGTGAGAATCTCTTTCTGTTGAAATCCTTTTTCTTTTGTTTATTGCTTAGGAGTACAGGTTAAAGAATTGTCTACTGTTTGCCTTTTTATTTTGTTTTAGGGAACATTAGGAACAATAAGAAACTCCTGTTAGTCATTTTGGCATTGCTTACCTCTGAAGTGAATAAACTGCTGCTCAGCATCTTGAATTGTTATGTGCTGCAGGCTTTTTCTTGGGAGTGGTAGAGTCTCATGTTAGCTGCATGTTGGATGTCTAGTTTACCCCTAGGATGGGGACCTAACGAGCTTCAACCAAATGTGTTGCTGTGCATTATAGACAAGCATCTCTACTTTTAGTCTCATCTGTCCAGCTGTGCTGCCATGTTGCAGGATGCTTTCTGCTTGAAATAAGCCACGCTTGTTCAATGTTTCTCTAATTGTACTATGATGAACATGCCAACTGATGCCTGTGTAGTCTGAGACATAGCAAATTAAATCAAAATCCAATATAAAAAAATCTTCCACGGTATTTTTATGGGTTAGATTTTGTTCTTCATCTTAGTGCCTGGTGGAAACTCTCACTACCACATTAATTTGATAGTGGGAGTGATTTCTTGCTTACATTTTTATTTAAGGTAGTATATTCTTAATGAAATCCTACATGACTATTGTTCCCATCATCCCTTCCCTATTACTCGCATTCAGTTCTGAAAACCACCAGCCTCAGGCAAGCAGCGTATTTAAGTACAGCATGTCTGCAGAATCAGTTCCATTTTGCAGCGCAGTGCAGTGAATCCCATATAATTGATTTTTGTATTAGGCTGCCTGTATGCTAAAGAAAACAAAAACATTACAAGCTCATCATATTTGGCATGCATGTTGTTTCATTTTCAGTTTGCTTCCAGATGCTTAGTTTTGAAAGTAGTCATCAGCAAAGCAAATGCATTATGTCACAGCAGCAAATATTGCATAGTAGACAGTCAGCAGTGAAGTGTAACATATCAGAGACTTTCACTGCTCATCAAGACATTATTACAAATTATTCTGAGAGATCCATAAGACACAAATGGAAAAGAACAATATTTGGGAATCTATTAGAAGTCAACAGAGAAAGAGGCTTCAGCATACTCCTTTCATGCACTGAATTTGTGTGATGATCCTTATACAGATCTGCTCAGCAAGACATTAGGCAGCGGTAAACAACATACTTGTACATTGAATTAATCACACTATTCTCAACTCTTTGCAGAAACTGTTATTGAGATCAAGGAAAAAAAATACTACCACATAGCTATGTAGCTCGCAAGATATACTCACTTGAGAAGTCAATGGCAAAGCCAGACTTGGTGATGTAAAAATCAGTCTCAAACTGAATGGTGACGATGTTGAGAGTCGAGTGGATTCCTTCAGGCAGCAGTGAGCCACTAACTTCCTTCAGAGACATTTCATTCTCAGGAGGCCCATCCCAAACCTTCAGGATGTCATGGGATGCCTCTGTGTCGAATGCAAGAAACTGGAGGCTGAAAGAGGTGAACACAAAAGATTGTTGGCATAGTTTGGTTTTAGTTCACCGCAAGTCTCTGTCGCTGACCATATGCAAACTCTCTATTAGCTTACATATGGTTAGAATGAGTTAACATTAAATCAATTCTTGTATTCTCTTTTTGTACTGACGTAAATGAAGTTTGCATTCATCGTACACTGCAAATACAATGAAAACCCCTCAAGCTGGGGCACCAAATAGGTGTTGAACTTAGCAAGATTCAATTAATTCTAGAAACAATGTCCCTTTGCTTTTGGGCATTTTAGCTGAGATTTGCTATCATCAATCAACTTCTTCTAAAGTCAGAATTACACTATGAGACCACAGACTTATCTGCAATCTCATCAAGAGATGGCCCGAAGCAGCTCATCTCACAGAGAATGTGTGGTTGACTTTATGAAATCATATCATGTTTACTTCGACCTCTGAGCCCAAATCGGTTTTATTTCACAGTAATAGTGGGAGCTCTCAGCCAAAACAAAGGAAGAAAAAAAAAAGCTTCCATGTCCCAGTAATATTCCTCTGGGTGCTGTCACAGTGTCTACAAAGTCCCTCACACAATCATTCTTAATGGAGCTGCTGCAGGCCGTTTTTCTTGATGACATCTAACTTGAGAGGCGAATTCTTCATGTTCAAAATCTTAACTGCACATTACAACATCTCATGCAAACATTTTACGGATGTTTTCATCTTTAAGTCCTTTGAAGTCAGGGCAAGTTATCTGACCTCCATTAATTTATGAGGCATTTAAATCATCTCCCCACAGTTTAGTTCTAGGCAATTTCCTTGTATATATTTAAACTGCTGTTAAAATCCTTCTAACGTTAACACACATATAGTCCACTGGATGCTCTGCTTAGTTCATTTTAAATCATTTATTTTCTCTTTCACCATCCATTTCATGAATAATTTGCATTTTTAGACAAATCCCTGCACATCTTAATTAACAACAACTCGAAAATTATTAATACAAACGTTATTAATCATGTAGCACAATATAAAGAAAATAAACAAAATTACATTTATCCTAAATATGCAGTACATGCGTGCATATGTAGACATCGGAGTTACCTGACGATGTTGCCAGAATTGACCTCAATTGTCCAGGTACATCTCAGGTTGTTGTCATAGGGGAAGGGATAGCCAGGAGAAAGGATACGCCCAGTAGACTCACCCTTAAAACTGCCACCACACTCCGCTGCATGCGCACACACACAAACACACACAAACACACACAGAAATATTGAAGCACAAATACAAAACTTGCACAATACAAAATCAAGATTCTTCCACAGACAAAAAAATGTGCATAAGTTAAACACACACAAACACACACACCAACTAACAACTAGATGCCAGCTCACTGCAGCTCTGAGGGTACAATGTGCAAAAATTTAAGCTTAGCCACAGCGAACAATCCTAACAGGTAATGAGACTGTGGCTTCCTGTCTAAGCAGAGAAACTCAGACATACAAAACATGTTTGCTTCCTAACGAATCATTAATTTGGTTAAAAAGACTATAGAGGCCAGGCTACACTGTAGGAATGACACTGCTACAAACGTTAATAACTGAACGGATATCTTATCATCCAATCTACTTTGTCTCTTCCTTGGTTATTGTCGTGCTATCTATATTACATAATAAACGCCACTTAATTAATAGGAAAATTGCATTAGATCACTACATCGGTGGGCTATAATCAGTATCATTATGCCGGGCAGATGTAAAAGACCTTGATGGCAACGAGGATGTGGCTCTGGGGAAATGAATGGAAATGCCATTTCACCACAGCTCACTATTAATATTGATCTCTCAGTGACACAGCACGGTTATCCAGTTAATCAGTACATCTATTTATTTACTCATTGCGGTTGTATTAGACATATCACAATGGCATAAAGAAGAAATGCTCCAGCAGTGGAAAGCATTGGCATTAAAAGTGCAATTCTGCACACGTCCGGAATTTGTAAATCATCTTTTACCCTAATCCATCACTGCTAGACATCAAGGAACAGACACTGCTTCACAACACCTTCCAGACTTGAGCAGCGTGCAGGTAATAGCTTTATCATTTCTCTATCTTTCCGTCTCAGCATGTTCTGAATATGAAAGTACAGCCAGGACTGTGTTTTATGTCCAAGTCTCAATATGACAAAAAAAGATACGATAATTATTCCTTTACTTGTAGAAAAACGCAGATTAATTGCTAGGGGATTAAAACATTCGAATCAAACATTCGACAAAAGGGGTACGGCAACACAGCGAAAGCTCAATAGCAATCCTATACACTATAACACTATAGTGTTCGTAATCATTCCATACAGCCAGTTCTGCATCCAAAACACACACACAGATCAATTATTCACGAGAAAACATCAAAGCCATTTAAATTCTCTTACCAAATGACAAGCGGCGTATTTTCTTTCAGCAAAGTTCAATTAAGAACAAATCATGTTGGGATAAATCCTTTGGATTAACACCTAGCTGAGCAGTGGCTGTTCTGAATAATAATAAAAGCTACAAACAGCAGGGTCTCCATCCTCTGGACTATGACACATAGAATGGAGACCCCGCTGTTTGTAGCTTTTATTATTATTATTATCTTATTATCTATAACTAGACAGACAGAACAGAAAAAAATTCAGCATTCAGGCAAAAAGGATTACCTATACATGAAGGAAGAGGGTTGTCCCACGCTCTTCTTTCACCAGTCATGCACTTTAGCATGCCAAAGCCGTGCAGAGTGTAACCTTGGTCACAGCCAAACGTGATGGCACCTCCAGCAAAGTGACCCTGGTCACTGATTTTGAAGCCAAACTGTGGCACACCTGGATCGTCACAGTGGGACAGCTCAAAACCTAGACAAGAAAGAAGAAGAATGGCATAGGGTGGTGATAAGAACCAACACATTAATGTAACACAGTACTATGTAACAAAGTCTACTGTCATTTGATGAACCAGTACTCATTTATCTATACTCTAAAGAGGTATGGATTTAGCTTTGAGTATCGATTTCCCGTTGGGCACAGATGAGGGTTCATAGTCCTATTATATTACCAGCAATAAAAGATTTCCTTTGGACAGAGACCATAATTAGGCATTCGTAATTAAATGTTCAATTGAGTGTGGGCATTTGCTATGACTGAGAAACAGCCTATCCACTTGGAACGCTTGGGGAGAGGAAATTAAACAAGCCACAAACAAGAAAATGTGATAAATCTTTAGCTCAGCATGCTTGAATATGGCCTTCATATGTTGTTCCTCTCTTTTAGGTACTAAAGTGTTCCGCTATGCAGCAAGAGTGGCCGCACATAAACCCAGCAGTGCTGATTTATGGTCTCGTCTCACCGCGAGGTCCGTGCCCATGCCAGATGTTATGGTAGTATTACAAGTGTCATGCCCAGTATAAATCTCCAGCAGTTACCGCTCACATTTAGGAAATTACCTCAGCACTTTTGGAAGGAGTCATGAAAACATGATAAGATTTCATGTTCTGACAAGATTTAAACTGACCATATCCCACCTTCCCCTTGCCCCCTTGCTGCTCATACATCACTCAGTTCTCCTTACATTAAAAAAAAGCCCTTTTCATTTTGGCTCAAATGATTGCACTTGAGAGATACAGCTTACATTGTGCCATTTACCTTGTGTGCATCCATGGATAAGAAAAAATATCACAAATGAAATCCAATTATGTGATACTTAATTACGGGGTATTCTGTAACTCAAAAGGAAGCCTGTAATTAAGCCATTTCTTCACAACTAATTTAGATACAGATGGCAATTTATATAGCCATTGCAAATGAGCCCACATTCCTGATTAATGTACATTTTCTTTTTTTATTTTTGCAGATCTGTCAGGCTCCGAATCCTCAAACCCTTCACAACTAATGCCAAACCGAATCTTACAGCAAAACTGTTAAAACGTTTCTCTTATATCCATTACCAGTTGTACCTTGCACATTTGGCGCCATTATCATAGAGTGAAAGCTGAAGACATAGGAACTGTGAGTTATCAAAAAAAAACCCTTTTCATTATTATTATTTTCAAACCATTCAAAAGTTTAAAACTGATCAAAAGTGAAAACCAGAACTTCATCCTAACTACTCTCTTGAATTCTACATTAGAAAGCTTACTGGTAGACCAAAAGATTTCAGAGATCTCAATGAGCACACAATTGCAGGTGAAAGACAAAAACACTTTAAATTGGATGGCAAAATGCAGTGTCGCCAAAACATTCTCTCTTCACAGTAATAAATTAGAAATGGTTAGCAACAACACACAGTCAGCAAGCCAATTAGGGGGGAGAGAAAACCCCATCTATTATTGCCCCCCCTTACAGCAATGACCGAAACTTTTAACGCGCACATGCACTTGTGGATTTGTACACACACACCCTATGCAGTGCATGCAAATACAAACTGGCAACACACACAAACCGCAAACAGCAGCATAGTGACTTCAAACAGTCCTAACAATAATTCACCTGCTTTAACAAGGTACAGTTAGGCAAGCAAGGACGCTAATTGCAGAAGTGGAGAGCAAAATAAAAGAGAGAAAAAGGACTCACATGGAGAGAGACAGAGGTTGAGAAAGGACAGAAAGAAAAAAGCCAATTTTCCTGCTGGAGTGGAGCAGAAACACCATGCTGTGTTTAATGGATACCCTGACAGTGAAAGACACAGCGAAGCGGGGTGAGGGTCAATTAAAATTTTCTTTCAAATTCTGCTACTTCAAATGCCTGGCTCCCGAAGTGAGGCTAAATTCACTCATTTGGAAAAGCTTTAGGGCCCTCCTCCCCCAGGGAAATGAAATGTGACTTACTGTGGTATATGAGCCGGAAACCTGCAGCCGTCTTCTCGTGGTCAGAGAAGAACTCAAGCCACAGATAGTTGGAAGTGCTGGTAAGGGACAGACCTTGCATCAGCGTGCTCGTGTATGTGCCAAGCAGTGGCGCTGCCCCATCTTTACCGTCATACAGCTAATCGGAGACAGAAAGGAACACGAGGGAGTGTTTTGTTGCTTTGATTAAGAATTAAAAATTAATACTGAAGTAAGACAGCAACGATTAAAAAGAAGCTATTAGTGTCATATATCCGATTTTATATGACATCTCTATTGCCAAGCCAATGCCCTAAATAAAATGAGATAATGAAGAAAGGAGCATCCATAATTCATTCCATTGATCTGAGAGTATATCTGTAGAGCTTAGCTAACAAGGCTCGTGACAGATGGTCTGAAAGAATAACTTGTCTTTTTAATTAATACCATTTAAAAGTAGAAATACTTTAACAAATATTCACCAAATATTAAATGTTCTTTATTATTGAACTACTTATTTTCAGGCAGGCAGTTGACTCTTTCCACTGCTTTTCAAGGCTCTTAGAAACATGACTTTGAAATTGAATCTTTCTTTGATGTTGTGTTTATTTACTTGTTTATTATTTTATGAAAGAATGACTTTAAGTAGAAGCATGCTTCCCTGACTGATATCTGTGAAACAATAAAAAATGAAAAACAAAAGGCTCTGTGTTCTTTCCTTTGAAACGTTACAGAAGGGCTCTGTTTTGTTTTTCCATTTCTTAAAGGTAATCTACCTCTCTGAAAATGTTTTCCACTTTTGAGATATTCCCGAGATGACTGAGTACAAGAGACTATACAGCTGCATTACTAGATGGATACAGATACTAGTCCACAGTGCTTTGGACTAATAACAAAACATCTGCATCTAAAAAATATATATAAATAAATAGTGCACTCCAGCTGTGAGGTGGGAACAACACAGCCACTTTCATTACATGTGTGGTGCTTATCAAATCTGTTAATAATGCCCACGAGCAAATGCTGCTGATGCTGTCACGTGACCTTCAGACGTCTAAGACAAAACAATTCTGCATTTTTTTCCCATGCAATCCTTTTTTTTTGCAAATAATAAAAAGTATCAAGACCTTGCTTGCATACTTGAACATCAATTTTTAAAAATGACACAAAACTGAAGTTGCTTATCTACTTTGTGTCAGCAAAGATGAGCGACTGCTTTGCTTACCTTGAGAACATCACCTTGAGCAAGCTCAAAGGTGCTGGCAGTGATGTTGATGCCTTTTCCTGTTTGGACCTGAATGCTGTACACGCACTCGTGGCTGTTGTCATAGTTCATTGGATAGTTGGGGGACAAAAGAACTCCCTCATTGTTGGAGACTGTTGAACCGCACTCAGCTGCAAACAAAAAACCCCAACAACAGACACAATCAGCTACACAGCAATATGACCTGCTTAAACATATTAGGAATACATTCACGAAAATTAATAGACACCATAAAACTGGTTCATTAGCTTTTTCCTAACAAGATAAAAGTATATTTCACACATTCTACTTAAATGAGAAAGTGTACATCCCTTTTTATTACCTTACCTCGTGAAAATCATTTTTTAACTGAGACAGACACATTATGAAACATAGATTAGACTATTAAATAATTAATATTTAATGTAACAACATTCACTTGCCTTGCTGCCTGGGCTAAATAGCAGAAAATTGCTTAACCACAATTAACTTGTACAGAAAAAAAAGTCCAGACTTTCAAAGACAGGGACATCAGAACATGGCATTTATCATGCAACAAATGCACTGATACTTTTAGTCTGTAAGTCTGACACAAGACCAGGTCAATGTCAAAAACATGCTAGGTACACTATCACAATGACTAAATCCCTACAGTAACCTTTTGAAATGTGAATGTAACTGACCTGCCTTTAAGCCTTCATGAGTGAAAAGGACATCTCCCTAGATAGTTTAACCCAGCAGCTCACGTCAGTTAATCACAGGTCTATCCTTTTAACTGTAGTCTACTTACATAAATCCAATTCTGCTGGGTTCTTAAATGTCAAATAAGAAAGTTTACATCTGTGTTGAATACATTTTAAAAGCTGACACTGGCTAGTTGCATAAACACATACATAAACAAGAACGGAAACAGAATAAAAGCAGTTGACCACGTACCCACACACCTTGGCAGAGGGGCACTCCACATGCGGCGCCCACCTCCCAGGCACACGATCTCCCTCGCCCCCTGCAGACGATAGCCCGTATTGCAGTAGAACGACAAAGAGTCGCCAATGCCAAACTTGGAGCCCGTGTGCCAGCCGTACCGAGGCGTTCCAGGGTCCTCGCAAGGTTCAAGATCATACTCTGCAAATAAGACAACAAAAATTTATTACGAATCCTCTATCTATTGCTTCTTTTGAAAATAACTCCCAGTCTTCTTGTTTGCTTCCATCAAAAAAGACGACATGTTCAGGCAAAGCAGCACTGTAGTTTGTGGGGATTACCTGTCTTGCCCAAGGAATCTTCATCAGGCTGGGAAGCCAAACGTTTGATTCCAGGTTGTCGGGATAAAGAATGAGCTCTCTAAAAACTAGGCCACTCTCAGTGAAATATTTTTACACATGGGGCTGCTGGTGGCCTTATAATTTGAGAAAATGCAGCCCAGGAGTAGGAGGAAAAAGGTCTTACTCCCATCAGCATTTCTCTCACGGTCTGTATCTGGCAGTATGCAGAACTATACGGAGCCTATTGATTTCAGCACCGCAAAAACATTAAAGCAGCAATCAAGTGTAGGATGTAGAATGATGGCCTTGGCAGACGTTCATTAAAGGTCATAAAAGGTTAAAAAACGAATTCTAATAATGAACTATATAGATGCTAATTGCAGAGCATGAAAGAAGACAAAAATATATTCACAAATCACGTTTCATGAATATTCATGGATTCATAAGATATGTCTCACTTCAGTGAACAACAGGCAAACATTTAACCCGGATGCTCATGAAACAAGGCTTCTCTACCTTGCTATTCTCTCTCTGTGTCACTCTCCTCTCTCACTCTTTATCCGACCTTGTCTATGAGCCCTGCACACTCAGCATCACCATCTGTCTCATCTCCTTTCTGTCCCTTTATCTAGCTCTCTAAACCGTGTATCTACGGCTGTTTAATTCTCCATTTCTTACCATCGATATGGGGGGCCCATTATTTCTGTACACACCTCCTTCTCCTTCTGCCGTCTTCAGTCCTCGGGAGACTGGCCCACATGCAATGCTTTGATGATCATTCTCCTCACGATCAGACACCCTCTACCTGCATGACCCTGTTGTCTCTTAATTATCCTTCTCTGACTGACGCAGGCCTGAGGCATGGTCTGTCTTAAGCCTGCTGACCGACAAATCACTCCTTATGCTACTTTATGCACGCTTTAGAGAGGCTTAGTGCTTTTGATCTCATCAATGAAAGAACTGTCTCTTTCCACGTGCCTGTGACTGCTTTTCACTTTTGCTTTCTACCCCTCGTTTTAATTACCCTTAGTCCTCTTTTCTACCTCCTCCACACAACCCTCCATCCTCTGCTAAAACCTTTCCTGCCCTACCACGACTCCCACCTCCATTCCTTCTACAGACATAGCCCACATATGGACTCATACCTGAGAACGAAATGTTGAATCCCTGCAGCGATATGGAGAAGTCAGAAATAAAGCGTAGCTGGGCCTTGAAGTTCCCATACAGACCAGCATTAATTGGTGCAGGCCTCTCAGAGCCAGTCAGGCGAGCGAGTGGCTGAGCGAAGCTGCCGTTTTCTGTTATCAGAAGGTAGTCATGGTGATCCTCCAGGTGGAAGGAGTGAAAAGTGAATTGGACACCTTGGAGGAGAAAATAGGAAAGTCCAGTGATAGAGGTTTCCAGGAATATATAAAGAATAACTGAAAGGAACAGTGTCATTCATAAATTCATGGTAACATGCATATTTCATGTTCATACTGACTGACAGTACTGTGTAAAAGTCTTGAGCCACCCCCATTTCTTTAGAGTTTGCTAGGAAAATGGGAAATGGACTTGATGATTTATTGAAACATGCAAAGAAAAAAAAAAAAAAAACATTGGAAAGATAAAAATAGAGCTTGAATGTTTTTGATAGGTTTGTAGCTTGAACCTATTCGCTGGAACGTTGAAGACAATATAATTACACCGCAAGCAAGACACGAAGTAGGCAAAGTTCTTCATGTTTCTCGTGCACGGGAGAGAACCGGACAGACGCCGTTCCTTCGCTTGACCCCAGTTGCTCTCGACCGCTCCCCCGTAACACTGCTTTTTTATTGAGGTTACATGAATATGCATAGGTTCATTAACATATGACGTCTACATACAAACAAAGAGTACCGTGTGTGTGTGTGTGTTGCTGATCAAAGGGTCATATAACATAAAAGCACACAAGCAAACATCCTTGGTCAGGAAGAGGGTAGTCTCACCCTAGATAACACGGTGAGGAAGTCCAGCATTTAAAGCACTTAGACTAGAACAGACGTAGCTACGTTTATCCTACCATAAAACAATAAGACAAGGTACGACCTCTCTCGTGCTCCCAGAGTGCTCTCTAATACACACAAAGTTTGCAGACTATCACTACACAATTGATTATACACCTCTAAGAATATATGGTTAAATATTTCTAAGCATAAATGACAATCAACAATACAAAATCTAACAGTTTTCAACAAAGCCTGAACTCTATTAATCAGTATCATCAATAACAGTTCTGCAGGCTTCTGGAAGGTCATTCAGAGCTCTTCTTTGGATGTCAGGTGGATGAAAATCTGTTGCTCGGTTTCTGTTTTTATAATTCATCAGTTCTGTCAAGATCCCCAAGACCGCTGTCTGAAATGCAGCCCCATACAATGACCAAGCCTTCATCATGTTGTACAAATAGCTGAAGAAACTCACTGTTGACACTCACTGATGATTTGACCCAAACATTTCAAATTTGAATTCATTATTTCATACCTTTCGGACCTCTTGCTAGTCCAGTTTTTGTGTAATTTGGCATACCTGTGCAGTAAACAGTAGAGTGATTATCTAAAGATCTAGATGCATCTATCAGATTCTGCCAGGTCTTTGATGGATTTTTCCCCCCTTTTCTTTATGACATGAATTTCAGATATGGTATCTGTATCATGATTCAGTCAATTTCCAAAGAAAAAACTTTGAAAAATCTTCAGAAAAGGAGAACTGTTGCTCATTGGAGCACTGACTAATTGGATATAAAATATAAAATATAAAGAAACTAGTGGCCGTTCAAGACTCCTGCACAGTGCTGCATAAGGTTAAGAATTAATGTTGTTGTTTAAATTTAAGGAAATGGGCTAAATTTGAATGCAGTCACCTCAAAATGAACCTGGTAAAACAAAGACTTGTCTTCTAGCTTGCCAGTGAAAGATTTTCCCAAGAAAAGAGCATAACTAATGATTGACAGTCAATGAAGCAAACAGAATCTATAAATTGTGTTCAGGTTGGTGAAGATGATGTTTTCCATCAATAAAATGCAACTGAAATTTTAAGCAAGTAAACAAGGCCTATATAAACAGTATATTTCCATCTTATCACACTGTAACTCAGACCCAATAACAACATCTTCATTCTATCCATGATGGCCACTTGGCTGCTTTTCAGCACCATCAGTGATGGCATTTCAATGCCATCTGTTGAATCTGTTGGAATATGACTCTATAATGTCCTCCACAATGCTTGGCTCACTTAATAAAGAAAGCCCCAAATGGCTCTAGAATAAATAACAAAATGAAATGATTGATTGTCTTCTGTAAAACGCCAATTATATTACAGAGCATGAAGGAAAATGACCAATTAATCAAGAGCCAATCTTGTGAGGAGACTTTCTAATATTGTAATACAGTCTGTACACGTGCTGGTTAATAAAAAGTGGCTAGTTGCATAACTACTACCTCTGAAGTGGAATTTCTTGCTGATTGCCCAAAGGTAAAAGC